GAGAGAGAGAGAGAGAGAGAGAGAGGGCGGAGCACTGCAGGGCGTGCACGCTTGAACACGGGCACGCATGCCAGTGTATGTGTGTGTGTGTGTGAGAGAGAGAGGGAGAGAGGAGGTGGAGCACTGCAGGGCCTGCACGCTTGAAAACAGGTACGTGCACCAGTGTGTGTGTGTGTGTCAGAGAGAGAGAGAGAGGGAAGGGGGGGGGGGGGACACTGCAGGGCTTGCGCACGTGAAAACGAGCTCGGTACTGCAGGCGGGCACGCGTGGATTCTTTTTTAATAGACCACCTGTCTGTTTGAAAACAAACGAACATGTGTACTATTCGAACAGAACATACATGTGTAATATTTCAACGTGTGTACTATTTGGATTTCTGGGGGTGACTTAGAGAAATGGACTGGAATTTTCCAGGGAAAGTTGAATAGTACATATGTGCGTTTTGTTCAGGGGAAGACTGTAGTATACTTACGAGTTTAGCTAGTGCAATACCTGTTTATGACAACATCACAATTTGGTTATGGGGAGGTTTCTATGTGGGTAACACAACCTTAGGGTGTAAGACGATGATGAAGTTGACATGTTTGATGAAGTCGACATGTTTTTCTATCTTTTCCTGAACCTTTGGTCGTTTGGCCTGGTAGCCATGGGACTCTCATGTCCAATTGCACTCGAGAAGTTATGGATGTTGAGTGGAGTACGAAATGTAGTCCCCAGATGCGTTGTCATCGTCGAGTTTGTAACTTAGTCTGGTGCGGTTGTGGTTTTGACATCTCCCAGTGTAGAACGCAAGCCAAGTGGATGGCTGTAGTCTTTTTCGTTTCTTTTTCGCTCCTCGTGTCAAGGTAGACGGTAAGCCAATGGGCACCACTTTGACAAACAGAGCAACCAAAGCCATAAATGACAGTATACTAAGTATAATACAGATGAAACGAAGCGGGCTAGCTCACTCGGTTGAGCACACAAGTGGCACTCAGGAGGTCGTGGGTTCGATACCCAACATTATGCTTTCGATCCCCGCAACCTCCTGGGGGTATGCTTCGGGTTCACCAGCGGAGATTGTTGGCTTGGCCCTCTTGGCTGGTTGTGGAAGTTCTTTCCAGCCCGCGCCGGGTGTTCGGAGCTTGGTTACTGCTCCCCGCACAGAGCAGAGATAGGTAGGCGTAGGCCCATAACCTTCTCCTACGAAACATGGAGCTTGGTTCCTTGCTGGTTGGGTTGCTGTGCCCCTTGCAGTTTCGTAATGGAATTACGACCCTTACTGTGCAAACATTTGGACCATTTCATGGTCTGCGTGTTGGTGCGTTGTCTTCACCTTTTTTCTTTGTTTGTGCCCCGTCCCCTCCAGCATTTCCATTAGGATTTCCCATTGATCGTCTAAGATTTGCCTGTTGAAAGTGAAAGAGACTCCGAGGTCTCCCAGAAATTAAGCAAATGTAATTTCTCTGTTTAGCCACATAGCTTTCTGAACCTTTTTTCCATGGTGTGGAGATGCGACTGACCTTAACAGTTGCTGAGTTGAATGAAAGGCGGGGCGGGTTTTCCTACGTGTTACGTTTTTTACTTTGTGCTCTTTCGCTTGGGGACTACGATTTGCAGAAAGAGCTGATGCGGGAGGTTGACTTGGGCCCGTTTAAGCACAAGGTGGATGATGGGCTTGAGCTGAGGAAAGCAGCCTTTGAGTGCGTTGATACGCTCATCGACACGTGTCTGGACAAGATCGATCCGTCGCAGTTCATTACTCCCTACCTCCTGAACGGGTTGCAAGGTAATGTTTAAGCCACGGTTGTTGTCACCGCTCTGCACTTTCTTCATAAAAAGTTGGCAAATAGAATCCTGAATCAGTCGTCCTCTCCCTTCATAACATGTTTGGGGACTTATCTTTGCGTTGTTGCTATTCTAGTGTAATACCGTGTGTTCTGTCTTCAGGACCATCATCATTTTTTCTCTTTTTCATCACATCATTTGTAGCAGCACGTGTACTTCTAACTTCCAATGTCATTGTAAATGTAGTTTCTCAACAACATTCGCGTGAGGTTTCTTCCTTCATATGCGTGTTTTGTGCTAACAACATTCATGTGAGGTTTTTTCTCGGTAATCAAATCAGTTCTCGTCGTAGCTCGTGCTCCACTGAAGCTACGAGCAATGAACTGCATTGTGTACTCTTTGCTTTTTCCGTAATGCCAGTCTCCATTTACGATTCTCTGAGACTTACACTAGGTCCTCGTGCTTTCTGGCCCGAGAATTCTCTGAGACTTACACGAGGTCCTCATGCTTTCTGGCCCGAGTTTTTCACACGATAAGGATGTTGCTTTTGTCAAGGAAATGAAGACGAATTGGTTTGTTCTTTTCTGAAGGAGCCGGGGATAAATTCCTTTTCTTTCTGTGTTTTTAATATCCTTTCTCTAAATGGCAAGGTTCAATGAACTTTGCAGCACCCCCAGTGGCAAGCTGCCGGGATCACTGTGATCCAAGCACTTCTCCGGACCATTCAATCGGTAAGAGTGACGGGCGGTGTGTGCAAAGGGCAGAGGGATGATACAATTGTTGTCCTGATGGCAGAGTTGTTCTTCTTATGTTGGATTGCTTATCCTTGTGAGCAACATTGTGTGTTCCTGTGTGTGGTTGGTATCATCACATTCTGTGTTTTGTGCCCATTTGCCGACAGATCCCTATGAAGTCGACGTGAAGATGCCTTGTCATTTGATTCTCTCCAAGCTTGCAGAGCGTTGCGGGCCAGCCGTTCTCGCAGGTTGGTCCCCATCATACACTTCTCGCCTCTAATTGTAATGTCGATGGCATCTGTCTATTGTGCCATCATAGTGGGGGAGGCAGTTAGCCAGCCCAGTACTGACCGAGAGGACACCTGTGGTGGCCACACAAAGACAGTGGCCACCATCTGATGGCGTTGCATCCCGAGCTTGAAAGTTAGAGGCCATCGTGAGATGAAGCATTGAGCTCTTGCCACAGAAGGCCAAGGGGGTTTGGTAGGAAGAACCGTCAGCCAAAATGGGTTCAGAACTTCAGAGACAGTGGTGATGTTTAATTTTCAGACCCTCTTCCTATTGATCAGAACCTGGCTGTGCTGCCACCTATAGCCCACCTTGTTGGAAGCCGTCACCGTTGCTGTAATCATCATTCGTTGGTGGTGGTCGCCGTCTAGCTTTCCCGGGGCGCTCCGCCGGGTAGGTACCTCGCCCGGGGCACCCCGGGCATGAAAAAAATCCACCGATTTTTTTTTTCTTTTTTTTTGGGTTTACGGGGGTTTGCTGCACTTGCCGAGTACTGCCCAAAGCCGGCCTCAATTTTTTTTTTCAAGGCATATTGATTTCTTTGCGTTGGGGGGCGGGGGCCCGGGGGGCTATGGCGGGAGAGAGGAGGGAAGACTTTGGCGGGAGAGAGGAGGGAGGACTTTGGCGGGAGGAAGGAGGGAGGACCATGGTGGGAGGAAGGAGGAAGCACTATGGTGGGAGGAAGGAGGGAGGACTGGGGACTATGGCAGGAGGTACGAGGAGGTAGGAGCAGAACTCTACCGGCGGTAGGAGGAGGTAGGGGCAGAACTCTAACGAAGAAGAAGGAAAAAAGAAGAAGAAAAAGAGGACTATGGTGTTCCAGAAGGACTGTAGAGAGTAGGAAGAGGAGGAAGAAGAAGAGAGTAAGAAGAGGAGGAAGAAGAAGAAGATGAAGAAGGGAAGGAGGAGGAGGCAGGGAAGGCTATGGAGCGAGCCTACGAAGGGAGGAGGAGGGGGAAGGGAGACTCATGGAGGGAGGGCGTAACGAGGGAGGACGACGGGGAAGGGAGACTGATGGAGAGGGGCGGAGAGGGAATCTATGGAGGGAGGAGGGAGGCTATGGCAGACGGAGCAGAAGCATAATCAAGCATTCCCCCCCAAAAAAAAGATCAGGATTTGTTGCTGAAGCGCTATGGCGGAGGAAGAAACAGGGAGGAAGAAGTGGAGAGCAGCAGCAGCAGCAGACGAAGAAGAAGAAGAGGCGGCAACAAGAAAGAGAAGGAAAAAAAGAACTGATGAAGAATAAGAACAAATAGAAGAAGAAATGACAAAAAAAAACAAAGAAGATGAAGAACAACGAAGAAGGAAAAGAACACGACGAAATGGAGGAGAAGGAGAAGAAGAAGAATGAGACAAAATGAAGAAGAACAAACAAAGACGTAGTAGAGATGAAGAAGAAGAAGAAGAAGAAGAAAACTTACCTGAGTTGGCAATGGCAGCGCAGGCAGTCTTCGTCAGGGGCAAGGAGGATGGCGCGGCTGGAAGGCGATGAGGGTGGCGTGCCGTAGGGCAGCAGGGTGATGACAACGATGGCTCGGCAGGGCGAAGACAACGATGGCGCGGACAACCACGCAACAATGGCGGGGAAACAACGAGCTGGTGCGGGGGGGTAGGGCGGAGGGGGCAGGGCCGTGCGCTAAGTACCCAAGATTTGAATTCAAAATCTTGGGATTTCCGCACCATCGATCAACGCAGATCGACGGCCCAGGTCCCGAAAGACAAAACTACGAAACGGGGCCTACCGGATCCCAAAAAATACTGGGGCGGCTGCCAAAAAAAAAAATCCCTCTGGGCCTCCAGCCCGCAGCGCAAAAAAAAGAATTTCGAAGCGATTTGGAGGCCGGCTCTGTGGGGGCCCGGGGGCCTGGCCGGGGAGGTCGCACGGCCGGGCGCCCCGAGCACCCTTCCGGGCGACCTGGGGTGGCCCTGGCGCCGGGGCTGGAAAGCTAGGTCGCCGTGTGATTGTTTCCACTTTCTGCTGTTTGAGCTGCTGCCAACTTCAACTGCTGTGTTCCTGTTTGATGTTAGCTGAATCTCTGGACTCTAAAGGTAACTTGATTTTGCTTCTGTTGTTTTTGTTGCTTTTCGCTACATCTGTAGGCTCTAATCATGAGTTCGATTTTTAGACAGCCGCACCGGGTCTGCGGCTGAGGAGCGAGGAGGGAACAGGACGGGGTTGAAGGGAGGAAGGGAGGGAGACCCCGCGTCCTCCTTTTCCTCGACCATCCCTCTTCCTCCATCCGTCGCTGTTATATATCTCCATCCATTGTTCTCTTCTACATCGTTGTCTTTGTCCTTTGTTGTTCTCCTCCTTCCATTCTCCGTCCTCCTCCCTGATCTGCTATGCAGATTATGCTCTCCCTGTTATACCACTAACGAATCTGTATCGTCTCAATTGAACACGACGATCCTTGGGAGAGCATAACCATCTACAGTGGGATAACAGGAGATTAATAAATTTAAAAAGGGGAAACTATGCGTGAGTCACAAAAATGAGTTATAATTGCAGTATGGGCCAAGATACAGTTTGCAATTGCAGTTTGGGCAATGTATACAACCCGACTTTCTGGCCAGGTAGGGTGCCCGAAGTGCAATTGCAAACTGTATCTGCCCTCTTTGAAAAGGTGTCAGAAGTCCTTGCAGTGCCCCCTGCCTTGCTGGCAGGGAGCCGGATCGAAAACAAAAGAAAAAACAAAACAACAAAAAAAACAAAACCTAATACAACCCATAGGTGCAGTTAGATTCGTTCCTGAATGTTATAGTGTGAGCACACCTCCTTCAGGGCCTTCCCCGACGTCATTACTCAATTCGCAGTTCCTTTTCTTTTTTTTTTTTTGGTGCCGACCCTGGCCCAACCCCCTATCTTTTCGGAATGAGTTGTTTTCAATGAATTTCTTTTGCCTGGGCGGTGTACTTGTGGTTTAATAAAAAAGGAGACCATCAGCAGATCAGGGAGGAGGGTGCAGAGCAAGGGAGAAAGTGCAGGGGCAAGCGATCCGTTTGTGTGTGTGTGTGTGTGTGTGTGTGTGTGTGTGTGTGTGTGTGTGAGAGAGAGAGAGAGAGAGAGAGACGGATCACCTGCCCCTGCACTTTCCTCCTTGCTCTGCACCCTCCTCCCTGATCTGGGTTGCAGATTATGGTTTCCTTTTTTTTATTATTATTGGTCTCCTGTTATCTCACTGTAGATGGTTACCCTCGCCCAAGGATCGTCATGTTCAATCCCTTTCCGCAGCAGATACAAACCTGCAGTTTCACTACAAAACTCGAAGAAGCAGAACTCCACTGCCCACAGGAGTGGTCAGCTACAACCTGGGTAATCAGAAACCCAGCCAAGGAAATCTAAACAATTTGCTGGCTGAAGATCACAGGCATCTCAGCAATGGGATTCCACTGCCAAATACAGATATGAAAGGATTCAGAATATTTACCGAAAGCTCAAAGCACAATCAACTCCTAAATGAACTCCGTATTCACTCAACGCCGGCCCTTGGTATGATTTGCTACGCTCCTTTAGACCAGCAGATGTGGTCGAGCAAATTATCGAACTGGGGTTGAACTGGGCAATGAAGGACTGAAATAAACCTGAGGACAGAAACACTGTGCGAATCGAACGCTTCGGACTACGTCCACGCACTCTTGGAAATCACCTATCACATACTCATGCGAACTTCAGTATCATCACATACCATTTGACGAGTACGGAAGATGATTATACGGCAGATTGCCGCAGAGCTCACCTCAGAACAGGAGTGGCTATACACAAGGGACCTCAAAAAGGCACATCTAATGTAAGTGCTGGCGCCTGCCAACAGAGGCGAGAACGTTGAACAGGTGAGACCCCTGCAAAACAGCGATCTCCCCTCCCCCCCCTCCCCCCCCTCCCTGACCACACCCCTCTTAATGCCATGCAGCTTCTTTTCCTTTGCGAGCAAAGCCTCGACAGGTCATCTAGTGAGATCGTAAAGTTCCTCTGGCCCGGCATTCTGACTCTGCTCTCTACAGAAATGCACAGGGCGGGCTCCATGAGATCATGAATTGCATGTCACCCCTTTCCATCTAGTCTTGGCTTTTTGCATTCCCCTCGTCCCCCCAACCCCTGCTCCCTCATCTTCCCTTCTTTCCCTCCTCGTGACCACACCTCTTTTGCCTTTCATGAGGCGGGATATGGACAGGCTCTTTAACTCAGATGGAGGAAACAATTAGATCATAAGCGAAACCTATCACCTCTTTCTCTCCCTCCTATATAACAGATGGTGACCGGCCTAGCTCAGTTTGTACAGCCACAAACTGTTGAAAGTTGAAACACACCACCTGAGTTCAAGTTCCAATGGTACTCTCTCTGAATTTTCCTGGGGCTGCTCAGTTCAAACTTCAAAGATGACCGCGGCCCAGTTCTTGCACAAAAAAAAAGAAGGTGAGAAGAGAACATAGAGACTATGGAATTTAGAACCTGGATTGTATCTAAATCTGTCGCGACAAAAAAACTCTTTTTTGATTTTTTGGTCTGTCGATCGCTTTCTGGAAGTTTCTGAGCTTCAAACAATGGGTATGGTGACAAAAACGTTTTCTGAAAACAACACAGTTCAGAAACAAACTGAATGAAAACAACACAGTTCAGAAACAAGCTGAATGAAGCGAACTTGGGAAGGAGGGAAGGAAGAGGGTGGTGCGGTTCGGAGGGCGGGAAAACACAACTCCCGACCCCTATCTATGATTGTGTGGGCTCAAGATGGGTCCCTCTCATGGCAACATGGGAGTTCAATCACTTCTATATGCTGGAAACGCCTTAGAGTTGGAAGTTCCAAATTCATTGGTCAATCAGCAGGCTCGCCATAGTTTGGTCGAGGAGGAGCGAGCCTCAGTGACTACAAGCGAAGCAACTTTTGCCGCCTCTTAGTGCTGCGCAAATGGCATGGCAAGCGCTGTAGCGTAAGCTGGCAGGAAAGTTGAAGATATAGTCCATTCACACCGAGAATCCAATCTTTCTCGTATCAAACATAATGGACTCGGACTTGTTCAATTATGAAATTACTACAAAAGTACGATAATTCTGTTTTACGCGCTTGAATCAAAGTCTGTATTTTGTTTTGAGAAGCTTTGCATACCTCATCCAATTAGTGAGCCGTGTAATGGGCAACTATTTTGCACGGTTTAGAGGGCACTTCAGTGACATATAAAAGATTCTTCAATTGTCGCCATTGTTGGCTAGTCAAACCACTACAATGAAACAAAATAGTATACGGAAATCTTTTTTCAATATGTTGTGAAGTCTTTTGATGTATTTAGCAGTATCCGCAAAGACAGTCAAATTCTTACGCGCTTTCGCGCCTTCGTGGGATTCAGACGCGCAGCGTCTGCCCTTCGAGCCGTAAGGCACTGAAGAGATGAAGGGAGATCATAGAATATTCCACCTTCGCTCCCCACGCCTCTCTTTCTAATTCCTCTCTTCCCTGTTTGCTGCCCTCTTTCCTCCAGCCTGTTTTGTATGGGTCAAATCCTTTAGTGGTATGTGTGAGCCACTGAACGGCTAATATCGTCTATGCGCTCGTTTATTGGAAGTGGTTGATATGCCCTCAATTTCTTTTTTCTCTTTTGTTTTCCTTCTTGGCCCAGCTATCGGCCGCGGAAAAAAAATAGAGTAGAAACGTTTCTAGTTGGATGAATTTGGGCGCTCCTGTAGTGGCCCGGACGTTTCCTAAAATTGCGTAGCGTTAACGCTATGCGACTGTAGGAAGTACTGGTGGTTTAAGTTGGATCATTTCTCGATTTACGCATGTCATCCTTGTGCAGGAGCCATACTAATTCTCTGTATCGTTCCGGTTTTAACAGACGTCCTGAAAAAGGGCACGTACTCACTATGTGAAAAGAAAGTACAGCCGCTAGCGCGCCCCGATGTTGTTATAGGAGATTCCTGTACTGTCTGGTTTCTTCGTCGTTATCTCTGAGTTGTTCCTGTATTTGCATTCGCTGTGCTCAGTACTGGACGAGCTAGTTGAGCCCTTGGAGAAGACTGTGACAAAGAAGCCGAAGAAAGAGGCTGTGAAGCAAGAAGTGGACAGGAACGAGGACATGATTCGGAGCGCCCTCAGAGCTGTGAACTCCTTGTCGCGAATCAAGTAATATGCACGATGCCCAAACTTAAATTTATGTCACTCAGTCTGCTCAAATCCACCTCCTTTCATGTAGAGTTCAGTGTTATGTGTGGTTCCGTGTAAAATGACCCTTGCGATGCCGGGCAACCGGCCAGGCTAGACAGATTTAGGGACTCGCAGCACAAATGGGAGAATCCGGTGAGCACAATCGAACTACGTAATGATCGGAATCGCTGTCCGAATGTGCGCGGATCATAACCATGGTAAATCGGGAATGACCTTCAGTCAATTAAGTGGACTTGCTTTTCATCCAGTGTCTCGCTCTGATTGCAATTGTTTGCATGTGTTCAATTGGTATGTAATTTGCCTCTCTACTGTCGTCTGTAGGTTTTTCGGACTTTTTCTTTTTTTGTCTTTTTAATGTGTTTTGGTGGTCTGTGGTTTCTAACCTTCTCCCGAACAAGGGCATACTCACACTAGCATTTCGTATAAATGCATCTGGTCGCAACTACAGCAGGACCTGGATGCGTCTGACTGCAATCACATCCAGAGAAGAGGCGAAAAAGCGAAAAAGCCCTAGTGTGAGTATGCCCCAAGGCTCAGAGGTAGGTTCAAGCCAAGTGCTGTGTCCATTGTTTGTACAAAAAATCGATAACCCATTTGGTGTGGTGTGTGTTACAGCGCGTTGGGCTTGTCCTGTGGCCACGGTAGCCCTGCAGTTTTGTCCGTGGGCTACAAGAGTTTGTTTGGGTTCTCTCTTGGCTGCGTCCATTGTGTGT